GTAAAATCAGTCCAATTTGACTCAAGATGTTTCAGAAATGATTAAAAATTGGTCCAAAATTACTCAACGTTGAACAAAATGGCTTAAAATTTGTCCAAACTGCCCAAAACTAGTCCAACATGATGTGTAGCGGTATAAAATGATGTAAAACGTGTCCATATTGACTCAAGATGTTTCAAAAATGACTGAAAGTTATTCCAGAGTTCCTTAAATTTGTTCATAATGTCATGAGGTGTGTCCAGAACGTCTCCTCTGATCACCAGCGTGTGGATCTGAGACCCACAGAAGTAAAAACCACATTCATGTGACCATCAGAGCTGAATGAACCTGAACGATCCTTTAAACATGAATCTGAGACGTTTACATCAACCGGCTGGTGCCCAGTGAACTCCAGACACGGTGGAGACGTTGTGTGAAGGTTCTGATCAGGTTCTGAGCTGCTCGGTGGGTCGGCCGGTTCAGGAATGCGTCGTATCAGTGAGTTCAGCAGCGCTCTGCTCATTATCTGCTCCGTGGCCTCCAGCTGACTGATAGCTGGCCGTAAATATTTACTCGTCCTGCATGTTTCAGTGTGGAGGAGCTTCAGACCTCCAGGATCCAGCAGAGTTCATCTCCTCTGAGGTCCTCTAAAACCTCGACTCGTCCTTTAAGGAGAAACTCTGGTGGTTGGAATGTCTGGTTTTATTTCAATCAGTGCAGCAACACAACAAGTTTCAGATGATTTCTGGGACAGAANTTTTATGATGTATTTTAAAGTTATTGAACATAACTTTGTGTCTCTGCAGACGTGGACGAGTGCAGCGATCAGAGCGACGAGGATCTGCTCTGCGATCATTTCTGCCACAACTACATCGGAGGATATTACTGCTCCTGTCGCTACGGTTACCTGCTGCATTCTGACAACCGCACCTGCAAAGGTGAGTCTGGCGACGTCGCTGCAGTAAAACCTGCAGATATGTGACTGGAGTTTGGTGGGAAAAACGAGACCCACAACAGAAACACAGAGTTACTGCTAACTGTCTGAAAATGATGGACATGGACGAGTAACATCTACAGATTTATGGCTCAAAAATGGAAAACAATAAAATCATTTCAAAACTATCAACAAACATGTACCAAATGATTTTAAAATGGTCATAAATTATATAAATGTGTCCAAACTGCCTCAAAATGGTCGTGAATGATTAAAACTTTTTGTCCAATTGGCTCAAAATGATCCAAAACTACTGAAAACTTATTTAATTCAAGAAAATTATTTAAAGAATGTTCAAAATGTACAGAAAGTTGTCTAATGACTCAACAGATGGTCCAGAATGATGAAGATCTGTTCAAATTGACTCAAAATGGTCCAAAATGATGAAGAACTTTTAGAAAATTACAGGATTTCGTCTTAATTGTCTCTAATGAGCTCCAGAATAACTTGAAATTTGTCCAAATCCACTCAAAGTTGTTATAAAGGATTAAACACTTATTTGAAATGAATCTGATTTGTCCAAAATTACTCATGATTTCTCTTAAATGTACTAAAAAAAATGTCCAAAATGACCAGTCCTGTCCAAGTAAATAAAAAATTCTCCAAATTGATGCAAAATTGTCAGAAATGATTGAAAACTTGTATAAAATAACTCAAAAAATGTGTTCAAATTGACTCAAAATCTTCCAAGATTGCTGAAAACTTCACCAAAACAATTTAAAAATTGTCCTAAATGACAGAAACAAATAAGAATTTGGCCCAAATTGACTCAAAATTGTACACAATGACTCTAAAATGCTCTAAATTGATGCAAAATTGTTAAATAAACACACCAAAATTGCCTGAAATGACTCGACACACGTCCAAATTAATCTTAACAAAGTCACGGTTTCTCGCTGCAGCTTCAGTTTAACAGTCAGGAGTCACATTCAGCGGCTCGTTAACGCCACAAACTCACATGTTACGTCTTAATCAGCAGCACAAACCTGCTGACGGACCGAATCCGGCGACACCAACACACGATTGGTGGTGTGTCAGTTACTAATGTGCTGTTGTGTTTAAGTGGCTGCTGCGTTACGTTAAAGTGTTTGAGTTGACCCGTCTCAGTGTCGCTCCGGCTGCTGCTGCTGCTGCTGCAGCTTCCAGCATAAGCAGCTTCCAACATGTTAACATGTGAACCGTTAGCGGCTTTGAATTCCAGCGTGCTGATCCCGATTACGGTCGACTGCCAACAAGTCACGTCTCCGGAAACACTGAGCGCCTTGTAGTGAACTCAGTTAATCATTTCCCTCCGATAATCAAAGCAAAGATCACCAAAGCTGCTTTTCTGCTCCCAACACAAACCTGGAATACGAGCCTCAACGCCGTCCTTTGTTTGAACATCAGGGAATAAATGTTTGAGTAAATGTCTGAAAAGTTTGTCCAAAGAGACTTAAAATTGATCATATTTATTGAAAATACGTCCAAAATGTCCCCAGTTTGTATGGAATGGTTTGAGACCTGCCCACGACAACAAAAACCTGTTTAAAATTTAACAATAAATGTACAAAACGACTTAAAATTTGATCAGATTGACTCAGTTATTGGAAATATGGTAGAGTTCATGTCCAAAATGTCAAAAAAATGTGTACAACACGGCTTTAAGCTAACAGCAACCTGTCTGAATGAGCAAAACGCTGTACAAAAGGACTCAAAAATGAGTTCAAGGTTATTAAAAACATTTCTAAAAGGACTCATAATATATCCAAAATGACTTAGAATCACAAAAACCTGTCTAAAATGATTCATATGTGTACAAAACTATTGAAAATATGTACAAAGTGGATGGAACCTTCCTGAAATGTTCTAAAATGGCGAGAAAATGACTCGAAACACTTGAAATGTATCTGAAATGGTTTGAAATTTGTCTAACATGACTCAAAAT